AGAAACATTTTCCCAACGGGAGCGGCCTCACAGCCTGGACTAATACTCCAGTACGAATCATACGAACAAACGATATACGACATACGAAATACGAATTTTGCCGAGAATGTCAGTTTAGGACGCTAAAAAAGATGCAAAAAAGTTTACCATTTTTACCCTTGGTCTTTTCCCTAAAACGTAAAAAATGGATTTACCAAGTATCTCTACGCTATAGAAAAAATGTTTCAAAAAATGTAGCCAGGTAATTCAGAACAAAAATTTTTATTGGCACTTTTTATGTACGATGAACCGTTCTCTCAGAAACAACGCTTGAAGCGATTGGCGATTTTAAATGTCAGTTACGCGCGCGAAATCAATGTTCAATAACATTTATCAGTCCGACGGTAAAAATTCGATATCTTGTCCTATCGACAAAAATCAAGATGCATTTTAAAGATAAAGAGTGCAGCTTATGTATGAAATTTTTTACCGTAAATAAACTAAGTTTTTTATGTTAAGTTTCTGATTCTTATGAGATCAATACAATTTATCCCTTTTATTTAACACTATGGAGTTTAGACTACTAGAGCGAAATATTTAAAACTATAGCATGACATGAAATTTTAGTTTTGAGTTTTGGCCACAAATGTGAGGCATTTGAAATATGCTTAAAAAACGCTGAATTTAAATTTTCACATTACAAACGATCTAAAACGTTTAAAACTGCTATTTTTTAATTATACTAGTACGTTTTTTAAAAGTATCTAACTTTTGCTACAAATTACAGCCAAAACCGTCTATTTAAAGCATTTTTCTTGACGTGTGATTGTTTTTAATATAAAAATTTAATAATTTCCACGTTTTTTAGTCATGTTTTAAATACGTCATATTTGTTTCCACAACTCGAAATTGAAATTTTATGTTATAGGTTTTGAAGATTGACCTCTCGAAACCTCAACGTTTATTTATTGAACAGATTTATAAAAACTAACTTTATTCGGGACAAAAAACAAAAATTGCATACGTTGCACTCCTCAACTTTTAAAACGCATTATCATTTTTGTCGATAGAATCTTCTTCTTCTTCTTAGCCTTCTGTCGTCCATGTTTGGACATAGGCCTCTCCCAACTCCTTCCATCGGTCTCTCCTAAGCAACATATTTCCAATTTGTTCCGGCTATTCTTTTAATGTCATCAACCCATCTCATCTGTGGTCTTCCTCTTGGTCGTTTACTTTCGTAAGGTCTCCAATGTTGTATTGTAGTATTCCAACGTTGGTCTTTCTGTCTAGCAGTGTGCCCGCGAAGCTCCATTTAAGTTTTGCAATTTTATTGTTATGTAGTTTTGTCCTCGACTTTTGTTTTGGATCTTACCCAGTCGTTCCTCTTTTTATCTGACAGTCGTATACCTTACATTGCTCTTTCCATTGTTCTTTCTGTTGTGGCTAGTTTATTCATGTTTGCCTTGGTTAGGTACCAGGTTTGACATCCATATGTCATGATAGGAAGGATGCATTGGTTGAACACTTTGCTCCTCAAGTATTGGCTTATTTTGCAGTTCTTAAGTTTCCAACTAAGTTTTCCAAATCCTGTCCATGCCAGTCTTGCTCTTCTAGTAATTCCGCACTTTGGTTCTCTTTTTCAAGTCTCAGGATTTGGCCTAGGTAGATATATTCCTGGATTTGTTCTACCTCACTGCCGTTTTATAGTTATATGTCTGGGGGTCTTCTGTGTTTGTCATTATTTTTGTTTTTTTCATATTCATTTTTAGGCTGACGTATTGGGAGCTGCTGCTAGTTCCCCCAACATAATTTGCAGTTCCTCGAATGTGCTCGCTATAATCACTATGTCGTCAGCGAATCTGAGGTGGTTTAACTTGTTTCCATTAACGTTAATGCCATAGGTTGATCAATTTGTAGTTTTGAAGACGTCTTCTAGGGCTAGGTTTAAAAGCTTTGGCGATATTACGTCTCCTTGTCTCACTCCTCTCTTAATGGGTATGGATTTGTATTTTTGTCTAGTTGTACTATCATAGTTGCATTTTCATATATATTATGTATTAGTTGCCTATATCTCGAGTCTATTCTACAATTATTAATAGCTTGTTCTATGGCCCACATCTCGATAATATCAAACACCTTTTCATAGCGACGAAGGCAAGAAATACGGGTAGTTGGTATTCATTTGCCTTCTCCATCGGTGTTCTCATTATCAGCAGATGGTCTGATGTACTATATCCTTTGCGGAAGCAAGCCTGTTCAACCGGTTTGTATACTTGACTGAGCAACGATATAGGTTTATAATTCTGTAGATCACATTTGTCCCCTTTTTTGTGCAAGAGTATTACTAGACTCTCGTTCCAGTCTTAGGTATCTGGCTATTATGGAGACATGTATTAAATAGCTCTGTTAGTACAGGGATTGTTAATGTCTTGCTTGTTTTCAAGAGCTCGGTAATTATACCGTCGTGTCCTGGAGCTTTATTATTTTTAAGTTCTTTTAAAGCTCTTTCTATTTCGTATCCCATTATATTTGGTAGTACTTCTGATCCCACGTTTTTTATTTTTCTTTTGACGTTGTCCTTTATTGTTTCATTAGGCTGGCCTTGCGAGCTGTACAAGGATGTGTAGAAGTCTTCGACAATATTTGTTATTTTATATTTGTTCTTCTCTACCTTATTGTTAGCGTCTTTAGAATGTCTGTTTTAATGTCCATAGAATACTTTGATAAAAAAATATCCAATTTTTACCGTCGAGTTGATACAAATTTTATTTAACATTGATTTTGCGCGCAGCTGAAATTCTAAATGACCGGTCGCTTCAATCGTTGTTTCTAAAAGAACGGTTCATTCTACATAAAAAGTGCTAATAAACATTTTTGTTCAGAATTATCTCAGCTACATTTTTATTTATACATTTTTTCAACATCGTACAGATTTTTGGTAAATCGATTTTTACCCTCCTCATAGGGTAAAGTGGTAACTTTTTGCATGGAGGAAAGTACATACTACTAGTGTAAAAACATGTTCCACACAGGAATCGATAGACCTAACCAATATTGAATGAATCCGCTTATGGACAGCAATAAGAACAACACTACCAATAGCTTTTGAACTAGTTTGAGTGTCCATCTCAAGTCTGAATAATGTAATTATCCACAGTTAACTTTCAGAAAAATGCCCCATAGCAATTTCCTATTGTTTCAAGATTTCAAGAAAGATGATTTGTCAGCATGAAACTATATAAATAAAATAAATACATAAAAAAACACTTTGTTGAAAGGTCACTGGATGATGCCGATGATCGTGTCGGTTTGAGTCGCTTTGCTACGCTCCTCGGAAGAATTTTTTAATCACGAGTAATAAAATAGATACATACTAAGGTGCATTTTTAAGCATGCAGAGGACTTTTAGTTTAGATGCAGATCTTTATAGTTGGAGAAAAAACATACTTATAACATCATTCATAGAAACGGCAAACTAAATATCACTAATTTGGATAAAATAGACACATGGAAAGAGTACATTGAGGAACTGTTAAATGATAAAATGCGCGATCTTGAAATTAAAGAAGTAGTAACACGACCTAACATAACTATGGACGAAATTGAACGAGCAATAACATTAAAAAAGACCAGCAAAGTGACGCGGCCGGATAAAATACCGAGTGACATAAAGGTCATCGAAAGTTCAGGTAACAGATATCTTCTTCATATTTTTAATCAAATTTATGAAACTTGCTATATACAAACGGATTACCTTTCGTCGACTATTGTGACGATACCTAGAAAAGCAAATGCGAAAGGATGTAGTGAAATTTTTAAAACCTGATCAGGTAATAAACCTAGGTTTGCAATAGATAATAGGCTTTTGTGAAATATTAGATCTTTTCTATATCTGTACGGTATACGATCTTTCAGGTAATAGTTTGAAAAGATTTATATTAGATGCTAGTGAATGGTAAGAAGATATTATAACCGTATATTGTACTTCTATGTGTATTATTGCATATCAAAACTAAATACTCACCGTTATCTTAATGGGCTTTTAAAATAACACAGCTCTTGTCTTAAACTTTCTGCAAGAGCTGTAACAGCAAATTTTGATGCTGGATAAACATTGAAATTTGGCTTGGGCATTATGGGTACGTAATGCCCTGCTATACTATTTATGTGAATAATATGTCCAGCTATTTTCTTTTGGCGCATTATCTTTATAGCTTCGCGCGTGCAAATACATAGAGCCATAACGTTTACTTCAAAAACTCGCCTCCAATCATCGGTTGAACCCTCTAAAACATGTAATTCTAGTTTTAACTCGAAAACAATTTTAAATATCCTAAAATAAGTAATATTCACTTTGTAATAGAATAACTACCTTTTTATAAGAACGGAATGATGTAGCATCTTAGACTGGAAATGATTTTAAATAAATGGTTTCCATAAGTCATCCAAATTTCATAATAGATTAAGGTCGAGAGGCTGGTAAGTAAAAAATTTCATCCTGTATTCGAAAAATCGGCAAGAAGATGGAGAAATCAGAAAATGATCTACGGTATAAGGATATAACAACAAGTATAATCTCGTTACTTCTTTTACTATAATCTCGTTCTTTGAGAGTTAACGATCACCATGGCAAATCTTTTCCTTTCATTTGAAGTTCTAAAGAGCTTTAACGGTTTTTACTCCTATTGACTTCCTAATATTTAAAAACCAAGATATTTTGTGCTTTCCAACTTTATTCTTGGCGAGGAAAAGACTTGAATACCTTCAACATATTGAAAGACAACCTAAGTACTCGTCACAAAACATAAAATTAAGATAAAAGGAGTCAAGGAAGACGATGAACTTTTGGTTGAATAAGTACAGTAGGTGAAAATAAAGTCAAGGTTGTTATATCACCACTCTTAGTCGTAGATATGAGACCTAAAAATAAAGAACTAACTCCTAATTTTAGTTTTATTTATTCCTTTATTAACTAATCTAGTTCATATTTCCATTTTTAAAGGGTGTCCCAGATAACTAACCTTCCTTCTCTTGATTTCCTGAATAAGTTTTTTGTCATTTCTAATTTTTCTGGTCACTTTTTTGTTTGCATTTGAGTTGTCCATGAAATTGGAATTAATCTCTTGTTCAACTAAAATTTAAAAGGTTCTAGTCTATTTATCAGTGTACTGTTCACGGTCCTTGTCCTCTTTCATATAATATAATTAACCGGATGTACCATCTAAAAATCTTCTGCGTATGTTTAGGTTTAGCTATTCCAGAATATGTTTCTGATACAAAGAAAATTTTGTGTTTCGATTTGTATATTTTTTGATTTATATAAATATGTGTTCTTCTTGGTGATTGGAAATCATTAAGGCAATTATAATTTTATTGGTTACGAGTCTGCATAGTTTCAGTTGAACTGCATCTAAATCATTTACGGAGATTACGTAGCCACGAGATTTTACGTCTTCCTACGCTTCTTCTGCCTTTGATTTTGCCCTGCATTATATTCCTTAATATTTCGTATTTTTCAGCTCTCATGATGTGCCCCAAGTATTCTAACTTCCTGGTTTTTATGGAATTGAATACTTTGCATTATTTTCCTAGTTTTTCAAGAACTTGCATTTGTTTTTGCGATGCTTACAGGTTTTTAATGTTTGATTGCTTCAGTGCCCAAACCTCAAAGCCATACAAAAGGGTGGAGAAAATATAACATCGAAGCTTTCTTATCTGCAGTGTTATAGTGATATTGCAATTACAGAAAAGTTTTCTCGTTCTGTTATAAAAGTTTACCGTAAAATTTCAATGTGGGCCTTATTCCTTTCATTTGATCAGTATCTTCTTTGGTCCGTGCTCCAAGGTATTTGTATGAAAATATTGAACAATTTCTGTATTATCTAGCACTAGCTTAACTTTGATGTTTTGTGCTTTTGTAAATACTATAAACTTGATTTTTTTCAAATTTATTTTTAGTCCATAATCGTTGAAATGAATATTTAGTTGTTAAGCAAGGTGTTGCAGTTTTTCTAGTGTTCCTGCCAAAATATAGGTATCGTCAGCATATCTTATGTTTTTATAAGGCCCTCATTGACTTCGGCCTACGCTAATTCTAAGATGGCGTCACTGTATAAATTCAACCACAAGTGTGATGCACACTCTCTAGGAACACTCTCTGCAAACAGTGTATTCTTCCTGTTCCCAAATCTTTTCTAATTAACATTTGTGTATTACTTATGCCTTCGTTTAATTTCTTAGATAATTCTATTGTTAATTACTTTTAAAAACAATTTCAAGAAATGAATTATTAAGGCTATGGTGCGATATTCATTGCACTCCTTTTTCATTATCTTTTTTGGGAAGCAGTATAAATTTCGATTGGAGCCATTCTTTAGGTATTATATTTTTAATATATATATATAATAATATATATTATATATATATATATATATAAATATATATATATATATGTATATATATATATATAATTAGTATAATGGTAAGGTTAATTGGGTTAGCAGCTGAATAATGAAAGCCAAAGTGTGCACTTTTCAACGACTTCGTTATATTTCGTTAAATTTTCTTTAACATCTTCAGACGAATGCTACAATATGTTACAAAATGGTGAAATTGTGTATTTTACATAAGATGTAGTGAAACACTTACTTGTGTGAGGTTGCAGGCAAAAGTGGTATTTGAAAGTTCCATGTTGAAAAACTTTTTTGAAGATTTTTTATAGCAAAAAATAAGTTGTATGTGTTATATGGTGGCTTGAAAACTCAAACAATACAAGTGCATTTTTGTTATTTTCCTCCAGTGTGTAGTACAATACAAATATTAAAAACATTAAACATTTAAGAAACAAAACATTAAAACACAACTACATATCACATTGTCCATTTTTTGGACCAGTCTATTCACCTATGCACAAGGAGGTGGAAATACTAGTGTGTACCTCAAGGTTAAAGTGTCTTGTCAGCTATCATATTAGTAGATGTCAGCCAGAAAACTAAAGCTGTGTTCAGTTCATGTGTAAAGTTACATTTAATTGAAAATTATGTTATGTTAATTTAAGACAATTAAATTCTGTTGTTAATAAATATATATATAGAATTTATTTATTTCTTTGTGATTATTTTTTTTAAAGTTATTTTAATTATTGTTATTACTCTTAAGAATTTTATTTCCTGGAAAAATGCAACAATTGCAATAATTATGATTAAGTTACTACTTCAATTGGATGGTCAGAAGAGTTTTAATAGACAAATATTATACTATTCAGAATATTCCAGTTCGTTGACTTGATTATAATTTGTTTCCAACTACAGTAGAAAGGAATAATTTCACTAAGGGTTGTATATCTGAATTATTGTGTTGATTATATTTATCTGTTGTTGCTTAGTGGGTCATTTCTAAAAAAAAGTCTTCTCTTATAAGCTGTTTCTTTTTCGAGGATTTTGACATCTGCTTATAAGAGAAGACTTTTTTTAGAAATGACCCACATAGCAACAACAGATAATATAATCAACACAAAATCAGATATACAACACCTTAGTGAAATTTATTCCTTTCTACTGCAGTTGGAAACAAAAAATAATCAAGTCACGAACTGGAATATTCTGAATAGTATAATATTGTCTATTAAAACTCTTCTGACCATCCAATTGAAGTAGTAACTTAATCATTATTATTGCAATTGTTGCATTTTTCCAGGAAATAAAATTCTTAAGAGTAATAACAATAATTAAAATAACTTTAAAAAAAATAATCACAAAGAAATAAATAAATTCTATATATATTTTATTAACAACAGAAATTTAATTGTCTTAAATTAACATAACATAATTTTCAATTAAATGTAACTTTACACATGAACTGAACACAGCTTTAGTTTTCTGGCTGACATCTACCAATATGATAGCTGACAAGACACTTTAACCTTGAGGTACACACTAGATTTTCCACCTCCTTGTGCATAGGTGAATAGACTGGTCCAAAAAAATGACAATGTGATATGTAGTTGTGTTTTAACTGTTTTGTTTCTTAAATGTTTAATGTTTTTTAATATTTGTATTGTACTATCACACTGGAGGAAAATAACAAAAATGCACTTGTATTGTTTGAGTTTTCAAGCCACCATATAACACATACAACTTATTTTTTTTGCTATAAAAAATCTTCAAAAAAGTTTTTCAACATGGAACTTTCAAATATCACTTTTGCCTGCAACCTCACACAAGTAAGTGTTTCACTACATCTTATGTAAAATACACAATTTCACCATTTTGGTAACATATTGTAGCATTCGTCTGAAGATGTTAAAGAATTAACGAAATATAACGAAGTCGTTGAAAGAGCACACTTTGGCTTTCATTATCAGCTGCTAACCCAATTTAACCTTACCATTATACTAATTAATAATTGGACAGCTGTGATCATTCTTCCTATATATATATATATATATATATATATTATATATATATATATAAAATATATTATAAATATAATATCTATATATATATATAATATATATTATATATTTTTTATCGGTAAAATTAGGTGAGGTTAAATTCTGGATACATTCAGTATCCAGAATTTTAAGTAATTTAATGGGAACTTCATGAGGCTCGGGAGATTTACCACTTTTAGCTTGTTTCATTGCCTATTCGATGTCTTATCATAAAACGTCAGGCCCAGTATCATGTTTAAATTCTTTTGGTGCTTCTGTTCTCTCATTCACAAAAGCTGTTCTATATATTATGTCCATTTCGGCATTTTTTTGGTTTATATTAATATCTATATATTATAAGTTCACCACTTTCATCTCTTAGTTGCACTGTTTACAGTGGTTTTCTCATTCCTGTGAGTTCCCTACTTCTTTTATGCATATTAAAATATCATATTGTCAACATCCTATATCATTATATATTTTTTTAATTTCTTCTAGTTCTTACACTGCTCATGTAACATTCTCTCTATAGCTTCTTTTATTTTCTTTTCAGTTAATCGATCGGTTTCATTATATTTAATTGGATTTTTTCCATTATATTTAATTGGATTCGTTTTGAATTTGTTTCATTCATTAATGGTAGTATCTCTTCAGTCATCCAGTCTTTATGTTTTCTTTCCTTTGGTTTTAAGTTCTCATTTGCAGTTTAAATTATTGTCTGTTCCCCATGGGAGATATATTCTCCCATTTTTGAACAATGCTATAGCTACTTTTATTCAGTTCTTGTAAGGGATATAGATAGACAAGGAAAATAAGCTCGGGAAGGTCAAGGCTCAACTATGATTGTACAGTCAATGACAGTGATGATTTAAAACGACTGTGATATGGACTACAAAGCAGCCTACGACTCTGTAAATAGAAGATAATTGTTCAAAGCAATGAAAGAAATACCAAATCAATTGGTAAATTAAAAAATATATACACTGTTTAATCTAGCTCTTGAAATAATAATACATATATCACAAATCACAACCATTGGTTCAATATATAATAAATCAATGCAAATCCTTGCTTATGCTGATGTCATCAACATTGTTGGGAAAACGGAAAACGTTGCATCAAAGTTAAGCTTAAAGAATCAGCTACAAAAACGGGTTTAATAATAAACACCAAAAAATTAAGTATATGAAAATGAGCACGCAACCACAAATCCTACGACCACTTGTTATATAAAACGACGTCATCAAAGCAGTGAACGAATTTGTATATCTGGAAGCGTTTGTTAACACTGACAATGATGCTACCACAGAATTTGCATGGCCAACCATTTTGGGCTCAATATCCTGCTTAAATCCTTAATTCGAGAAATACAAAAGTAAAACTCTACAAAACAATAATACTCGCAGTGCTAATATATTGTTGGGACCAGGAACAAAAAGTAATGAAGACATCTTAGGATGTTTCGAAAGAAAAGTACTAGGGCGAATCTATGGAAGTGGTGAATGAAATGGAGTGTGAGAGACATACAACATCGAACTTCATAGAATATCGATAATCAGATATCGTAAAACATTTAATATAGACGTCTAAGATGGATAGGGCATGTAAAGGGGGTAAACAAAATGACCCAGCTAGAAAAACGCTCCTTGATAAACTCATTGGCCGAGAAGAAGAGAGAGACCCAGAGCAAGGTTTCTTGATAACATCGATGAAGACATGAGAAATAAGGGAATACGTGCTTGGCTGAGGAAGGCGATGGATTTAGACGACTGGAGAGAAACTTTTGAGGAGGCTAGCTCCTCAAACACCGGATTGTGAAGCCAGAATGATTGATGAATGATGGTTAAAAATTTTGTGCCCTATTTAAAACCAAGTCAATTAAATATATATAAAATACTAGTCAAACTTGAACCTGTCCGAGTTGACGTTCGATTTTTGTCTTTTACTTTTGTGTCCATTGTGTCCTTTATGTCCTACCAGTATCATTTGATTTAAAAGGAACCAAATCTTAAAACATAATTCTGTTAAAAATAAATTTAGTTTTGTGACAATTTTATGTTTTAAGCCTACAATATTACAGTATAACTCTTGGTAAACAAAACATATTTTATTCTTTGTGTTTCTGTATCCATTTATTCTTACCAACTAAATTTGTGGGTCTGGTTAAGCCGGCATTATTAACAAGAATATGAATGTGTCCCACATTATCAGCAATCCAACGAAAAGCTCTTAGAATATCATCTTCTTTGGCAACATCGCATCTTAAGGCAAATAATTTACCTGGTTGATCAGTTAAGCTCCTGGAAAGATCTTCAATTTTTTCAATTCTTCTAGCAATTCCCACTACCTGTAATTTAATATTATTTTAGTTTTTAAGAAACTATTAGAAAATTATACTACACTAGATCATAATCACTATATTTGTTATATTAGGGGTTTTGACTAAATTGTTGCAGAACATCTGTTTAAGATATTAAAAAGGAACGACAAATGAAATATACTTAAGTATCAATTGTATTATTTCACACAATGCCAATGTAAAATGAGAGGTTAACTCAACTGAAACAAAAAAGCTAGAGGACTAGCTCTAGGGGTGTTAAATCCAGTGATATCAATCAATCCATCTGTCCCCTTCTATCTATCCAACGAGCGAGAAAAGTTTCGTTTAAAAATTGTCGTGGTACAGGTAGAGCAGGAGTGTGGAGAAGCTTTATCATGTTAAAATATAACCAAAATCTTTAAAAAGGTTATTACCATTTTCTACTATTTTTCTAAATCGAACAAACACTTGGCTAAGTAACTTAAGATACGAATAAACCATTTAAGTTTTCAGTGATAAAAAAAGGTTCCGATAATGTGATCTCCTAAGATACCAAACCATAAATTTAACCTTTGAGGAAGTTGTGTGTGAAATTCACTCACAATATGTGAACTACTATCAGCCCAGTATCGGCAATTAGGTATGTTCACCAAGGCATTTAATGAAAATTATTCATCGGAAAAGTATTCATGACATTGCAGCGGCGGCCGGCCAGGTGAAGTAGGTGAAGGTGAGGTTCACCAAAAAAATATAATGAATTGAGACAAATAAATAGAAAATAAAAGCAGCATTATTATATCTAAATTCTGAAATCAATTATTTATTCTCTTTTAATTAATCTAAATATTAAAAAAGACATGCTAGCTTTAATTAGCAGTGCGGTAGGTACTTGACGGTCTTGACGGTTAAGTCCTGACCTGTGTCACTTGCTGTGTATGATTTAGGAATAGGTGAATATCATTTTTGAAATGCGAAATGCATCTGCATAAGCGTTCACGGTTGCCATGGCAACGTGACGTCAGCCTGTCGCTAGTGATAGTTGAGAAAAATAGCTGATGCAGTTCCGTTAAAAAAATATATTATCCGTCTTCACCCACTGGCCACTAGTTGCATGACTACCTATTTAGTATTCGCAGCGACAATATTTTAATGATATTACGACGAAGGTACCAAAACTCCTTTTGTCTCCGGCAAGCTTTCCTCATCTTCACCACTTTTTTAAGCCACGAGCCGCCGCTGTGACATTGTGTCATTAATTCGCAAAATTCGAGACGACGATCAAAATCTTCTTCATTTAATTCTTGTACAAAAAACACCGATTGCTCTACTTATTATTGACAGTGACTGTGATTGTATTAAGTTAACTTTAAACGGCTACTTGGATTGCTTCGTTATTTATGAGTCCCTGTCGGTTATGCATTAGTTCAATCACATATTTATAAGTTGCATGTCTATTGTGGTGCGCTTTATTAAAAATTCTAGCAGCAGCTAAAATAAAGGGCTACGGGGGATGAGGGGGTACTTTTCCCAGTAAGTTTAAATATGACATAATATCTGCCCTTAAAATAATAATTGATGTTTTTTGCCCTTTTCCTAAAAATTAGAATTTCAATGGTATTTAAGGTGGATAGTTTTATCTGAAAAGTTTTTACAGTACAAATAACAAAAATAAAAAATTAATGATAGATAAAATAATTATATACAAATTAAACTAAACATAACAATTTATATTAATTTTAACACTTCATTGCCATAATAATAATATTTTTTGCCTTTTCGCAGGCCAATTTATTTTTTCATTTAAAACGCATAAAAATGCAGTACAAAAACAACGCATTTTTTAAATATAGCAAAATTTTTTTCTAAACATGATTTTGAATTGGAGGCACGGGTGCATCGCGCGACCTAAGAAATAAAATTGTGTAAGCTAAGTCATGCGATGGCGCACGTGCTGCTCGCAAGTTTGCAACAATAAACCATGCGTATTATAGCGTATGGGTCTAACCAGTGTATTATTTACCTGCGTATTGTAGCGGTATAACAAGGATCTACAGACCGAGAATTTGGTATACAAATTCCACGGCTTCGCGCAAGCGTACTTGTAAGTTCGTATAGTCGGCTGGAGTTACAATTTTGCCAAATTTAAATGTAATCGTTTCTACTCATTCATATTAATATTTATAATGTATAATATATTAAAGTTTTTAAATATTGGTAATATTATTAAAGCTTTTAATACTATTTTTTATATTAAAATAAATTAAGTTTTAAATAAAAAATTGCGCCTATACCTTAAAAAAAGTACGAGATAAATATAACTCGTTTTTTATATCTTTACGTATGCTAAGGTAATAAATTAAAATCCTTCATACAAGACTAAAGGTAGGTACCTATAAATTTGAATAAGCTGGTTTTGCCCATACTGACTTTGTAATTCTAATTATCTACTAATTTGCATAACAGTCAGATATTGTTACCTGGTCATAATGCTGTGTTATTAATATTAGGATTTTCATTTCGCTTGTTGAAATCTTTCATCTGATATTAATTTCTTGGAAATTTTTATAAGGCTGAGAGTAAGTACTAAATCGGAATACTCGAGTCTTGTTGAAAAAAACTGAAATTTGGAGTACTACACAATCGAAGAGCGCAAAAAGAGATTAAAACATTTCCTGTATACTTTTTCCAGATCATATTTTAGTTTTCGAGATATATTTACAATTAGGGAAATTTTTGGGAAAGCCTTTACAATAGTATCCAAATTTTATTTGGAAGTTTTAATCTTAAGTGTTCCAAAACAATTTGCTATTTAGGAAATGAAAATTTGGTTTTTTTTCCTTATTCTTAATTTGCTATAACATTTCTCATTTGATTTAATAAAAAATATTGTAAATTCATTTTTTTGAATAATTATAACAACGACTCACATCCGAGTAGCTTAACACAATTAAAGAAAATATAAGGAATACGCTCACGACTCGAACAGAGTCTTTTCTTCTTTTCGCATAAAATATTACAAATTTATTTAAAATTACCCTTTATTTAATATATACTTTATTTATTCATACACAATTTAAAAAAAAATACTAGTCAGCACAGCGGTTGTATTTCCATGAAAATACGCTAAGCATGATAATGATTGCATGTACCTAAGTTAATAATTTTTGTCTTTTGGTTGGTGTTATATTGGAAATTTCCCCTCTCAAGGCATTTGCAAGAAAATTGCACTTTCATATAAAAAAAACGAGTTATTTATCTCGTACTTTTTTTAAGCTAAGGCGCAATAATTTAATTACCTTAATAGTAATTATATAATATTAAAAAAATAGTATTAAAAAGCTTTAATAATATTACCAATATTAAATCACTTTAATAAATTATACATTATTAAATATTAATAAGAATGAAATGAGTAGAAACGAATTACAATTTAAATTTTGGCAAATTGGAAACGTCAGCCGACTATAACGAACTTACAAGTAACGATTGCGCGGAAGACCCGTGGAATTTTGTATACCAAATTCTCGGTCTGTAGATCCTTGTAGCGGTATAGGTCTCACCAGTGTATTATTTAGTTCGCATCAACTTGTTATCGTAGTAACAGTATCGCAGTATAATTGAGAAAAATGGTGATGAAAAAAATCAAAGTAAACTACAAAAACTAATGGATGATATGTTGTCAGATGAAGAGGTATTCATGGGAAATTATATCGCAAGTAGTTATTATTCAGATTCATCTAATTATTCTTCATCACCTGTTCAAAGAAGAAAAAAAAAGGTACTCAACGTTTCTAATAACTCTAATAGCATAGATCAACCCAGTACATCATTTGCAGTACAAATCGAAAGCGTTGAACAGAAAAGCATGCTGACAATATGGAAACTAATCCTGTTAGCAGTCATTCGAATCTAATAGATGAAACGATTGAAAGTGGTATCAGAAACTTTGAGTGGAATAGTGGTACAGCGATGAAATACCTAGTGCTTCTACTCCAGTGTTAAAAAACTGGAATGAGGTAACCGGGATAATTTGAAACATTTCACACTGTGTTCCGAGCAAGCGTGTGAATATAAACAAAAATAGTCTCAGTATGCCCGATATAACCAACCTATAAATTTTTTTGCTGCTTTTGTGGATGATGATATCATGAATTGCTGGTAAACAAAGGAACCAATAAATACGCTTCAATAAAAGGCAGAAAAACCAATTTGACTTCAAGCTGGGATTCGGCAATGGAAGGATACTACTACTGACGAATTTGAAAATATTCTTGGGTATAACAGATTTGGATGGGATTAGTTCAGATGCCTAGAATGACATCCTATTAGTGTAAGAATATCTTATATTCAAACGAAATAAAATCGTTAATGCCCAGAAACCGATTTGAGCTCCTCTTGAGGCACTGGCATTTTTTGATAATGAAATTACAGATACTTCACACAGTCTACACAAAAGCAAACCCCTTCCAAATCATATCAGTCAAAAATTCAAAACGCAGTAACCCCTTCACCTAATGTTTGCGTAGACGAAACCCTCGTGCCTTTTCGAGGACGCTTAATCTTCTACAATATATAAAAAACAAAAGACACAATTTTGGGGTAAAAAGTTTTTAAACTTTGTCGTTAACAAGGTTAGACGTATGATTTCAAAATATATGTGGGACAGAAAAAAATACTACTACTGACAGCGTACCAATATCAATTGTTATGGGGCTTTGCAAAAATTTATTTTATTTTATTGTGTACCTTGCTTTACTTCTGTTCATATTTGCAAATTATAAAGAATGCAAAATACTGATTTCTTACGTTTTATTTTATTGTTGGAATACAAATTTTGTGTTTATAAATCTAAGCGAAAATATCTTGTTTTATATATTTTCAAATTTATTCTGTTTATATTTCAAATAAAATAATATTTGTTGTCTAAATTCATGAATTTTTTAATTACCTAACAAGCTACATTACAACAGTAAACAATAATAAAATATATAAAACAAAAATATTATGGTATGATATTGTGACATTCA